TGAGGGCAATGGCTCCTGCTGTTGTCAATCAAACTCTTGTGAGGAGGGAGTGGGAGTCGGACATGGCTTTCCAGTGCTTTGTGTGTCTATGGACACACACAACGCAGCTCACGAGCATGCTTACACGGGTGCCTCTATAGCAGTGGTTCTCAACCTGTGGGTGGCGACCCCTTTGGGGGTCGAACAACCCTTTCACAGGGGTCGCCTAAGACCATCGGAAAACACATATTTACGATGTGTAAAGAGCAGCTACTGTGTAGAAAGCAGCTGCTGTGTTGAAAGCAGCTACTCTGTTAAAAGCAGCTACTGTGTTGAAAGCAGCAGTATTGGAGGTAAAACGACACTTCATGAATTATAATTACTGGATAAATAATTTTATGGTTGGGGGTCACCACAACATGAGGAACTGTATTAAAGGGTTGCGGCATTAGGAAGGTTGAGTACCACTGCTCTATACCATGCTAGAGCAGGGAAAAAACTGACAGCACCAGTGGGAGACTACCAGAAGAGTAGGTAATCTCTGTGCAATATTGTTGCACAGAACAGGTAAGTATAACATTTTTATTTTAAACCAAAAAAATTAACAATTAGTATCACTTTAATTATCTAAAGAAAGGAAACATTTTTACTTTGAGGAATAAAGTACTGATCAATATAATCCCAAAAATATGTTGCCACTTTCTATCTAAAAAAAAAATCAGTTCAACAGCTGTTGTTTACCGAAGTGCATGAAAACTACAATTCTTACAGAGAATCTACCCCTCAGTAAAGGGATGGCTATTCTAAGGGATTACAGTTAATAATGCTCCTTTTGGCTCTAAATTGTTTAAGTGAAACTCTAGCCAGGACATTTATAGTTTTGAATACACTAGCAAATGATTAGACCTCTGTCAGCTTTATATTCTTGTGTGAGTTCTTTCTGAGAGATTTAATCCTTTGCTTCCTGTCCCTGTAAAAGACAGGATTTAGGGGAAATCTCATGAATGGAAAGACAGTATTACAGAGCTTGTGAGGCTTCCTCATGCTGTTCAAGCTTAAAAAAAAAACATTCTGGCTAGAATTCCACTTTAACTAGTGATGGAAATTGTATTTTATAAAATAGCAGATTTATGTTACAACGTTGCCAGCAGCACAGTCTGCCTTTTGTTCCTCCTGCATCATATTTTGTAGCGATGACAGCTGGAACAAGAAGTAGAAGGGTTCAGATCAATGCAGCATCACTACTGGATACTAATTGGAATAGTAAAACAGTAAACAATTATTTCTTTAATACACTTAAACTGAACTTCAGGTAGAAAAAAAACAGATTACACGCTGTTTAATCCTTTTATATACTCTTTAAAAAAATCATTAAACATAACGAGAATGATCTGGTGCCATATCTGGTGTCATATTGGATGTACTTTCAAATTTGACACTTTCTAAACTCCCCACATTATGTACACCACTACACGCAACATTTGTGCATTTGAATCTTTATGTATCATTCCAGACTTTCCTATTAATTTATGGTAACCAATTCCAATTCTTGTCTCTAAAAGACCTTTTTTGTTACTGGGACAGGGAAACAGACCTCAATCAAGACTTTACTGCAGATTAACACTTAATCACTGCAAAAACGCACCAACATTATTATTCAAGAATTAACCATAAGCTTAGGTCTAGATGGTACTACGCTCTCTCACTGTTCTACAACGCATATCTGCAGACATCCCTGACAAGTGTTGGACATGTCATAGCTCCACTGGGTCCCTTCTACACATATGTTGACAATGCCTGAGGGTCCAACCATTCTGACCTGAAGTTCATCACTTCATAACAAATATTACTGACATCACACTACCTTTTCATCTCAACCCATTCCTACTGCACTGTACCACCATGATCATGAAACCATACAAACATTCATTAATACCCCATTTGCTAAACATGTCCTAATTCTAAATCCCATGACAGGGGAAATCAAAATATCTCCAACCATCTGAGATTGGCTCCCCCAGATAAACTCAATTCACCCCAATGAAGAACTGATCCACATTAGCCAAGATAATATGACCTACATTTTTAAATCAGGACCAGATAGCTCCGCTACAAATATTCTGTCAAATACAATTGTATAATTTACCCACCATGCTAGCTTTCAATGCTTGATCAGTCAACCCGTTTTTGTCACTGTGCTGAAACAAGGCACCATTCACTCAGAGTGATGGTCAACCACCTGCAACCCAAAACATGTCCATAAACTTGCTTTGGAGTTCACGATCTCTTTACTGGTGTGTAGGGTCCTCTCCAGCTCTCTGGAGTCTCTCCTGACCTGCCCTGGTGGGTCTAACTAGGACAAAACTAACTAACACTTAACAAGAGGGGGGAGGACAATAGGAGAACCCAAAATCACATTAGTATACAAGTTGTAGTGACCAGAGACAACCAATAGAAATCAGCATACTACAAAAAAAATAACCTACAAAATAATAACCTCATGCAGTTTATTTGCCTAACACTACCAGTTATCTCCCTCTTACCCTTTCCTCTTGCACATTTCCCATACTAAAAGTCCCCCCTCCCTTTTACCTTCCCCTCCTTTCATTTCTGGATGGTTTACTCAACTTCCCCTAGCAGACTCTTGCATACACTCTATATTGTCCCTTACTCAGCTGGAAGACCCAGCAAAATCAGAAGCACAAGGGGGGCTGACAACCTTAGACTACTTTTCACCCTGTGTTAAAATACTACAATAATCTTAAAAAAGAGATTACTATTGTTCTACCAATAGCCCTTCTAGATGGGAACACTATAATCTTATACAGCAGTTATCGGTTTCTGTGAGTATTATATTCCATTTAGCATACAATATTGTATGTTCGGCCATCTGGTGGCCATTTTTGGTATTTGGCCAAGTGTGTGTGTGTGTGTTTTTTTATCTATATTTCCAAGGGTTTATCTATCTATCATGTTTTATTCAAGCACACCTATGGGAGTGACAGCCCCTGTTTGCTTTTATGTCCACCTGCCAGACTTTGTATTGCTATATGCTCCTAATTGGTTAGTACAGAATATGAGCATACCATTCACAAATTTTGAAGAAGTAATAATGATATATGTTTTCCACATTTGTGTATACTCTACTAATGTAATATGTCTATACTCATGTAATATTGTTTATGTATATTTATCTACGATCTACATACCTTTTAACCTAACAAAACAATCTGACTGTGAAACACGTTGACATCTTGATTCGGAGAAGCTTACCTTCACACAGCATACATCTAATGTTTGCATACATATATGTATGGTACATGAGGTTGTGTGCTTTACCAATCCATTAGAGTATGGGTGTCAAACTGGCAGCCCTCCAGCTGTTGCCAAACTACAGATCCCATGAGGCATTGCAAGACTGACAGTTACAAGCATGACTCCCAAAGGCAGAGGCATGATGGGACTTGTAGTTTCGCAACAGCTGGAGGGCCACCAGTTTGACACCACTGCATTAGAGGGTATTTGTTTTGAAACCATTTAGGATTTAGCTCCCTGGATATTTGGTTTAATAACCGCTTCTCACCCAGCCACTGCACATAAATGGCGGGTGGGAGCTTTTTCCCGTTTTGAGTGGTCGTTCCTGAACATCTTGTCAGAACGTGCACCTCGTGAGGCCTCAGGGCCACACAGTGATGCGATCCTGTGATGGCTGTGATCCCTTGGACACAGCATGTCACAGATCTGGACATGGTCACTGTGATTGGCCCTCTCGATCACGTGATGGCTGTGTCCAATCACAGCCATCTTTCAGTAGAAACAGAGGCACTTGACTCTGTGTCACAGCTTCCTGTTGAGCTCAGTGAGAGCTCAGTGCGGGGGGGGAGAGGGGGATGCTGCAGCATGTGACAGCTCTCTGTATAGTTGATGATTTTAGTATTCAGCTATACAGAGAACACACAGATTGCAGTAACCCCTATACAGTAGTGTGTCACATCAACATCTGTACCAGTGTCACATCAACATCTGTGCCAGTGTCACATCAACATCGGTACCAGTGTCACATCAACTTCTGTACCAGTGTACCAGTGCACAAAACATCTGTCACAGTAGATTAATGTCCAATGAACATCTGTCACAGTATACCAGTGTCACATCAACATTTGTCACAGTGTACTAGTGCACAAAAACATCTGCAATAGTGTTCCATTGCAACATCAACATCTGTTGGTGTCTGCCAGTAGATGATCAACCTCTGTCACAGTGTACAGGTGCACAAAAACATCTGTCAGTCTACCAATGTCCCGCCCATAAATAAATTAAAACATTGAAAAACTTCCCCTTCTCACGCGCAAAGGCGAGCACACACATTGGACCCGTATAAATGCACAAATGGCGATCACACCACACATGTGAGGTATTGCTACAAACATCAGAGCGAGACCAATAATTCTAGCAGCAGACCTCCTCTGTTCCTCTAAACTGGCAACCTGTAAAGGCTTATAAAGCATCGCCTATGGAAATGTTTAAATACCGAAGTTTGGTGCCATTTCACAAGCGTGCACAATTTTAAACTATGACATGTTTGGTATCTATTTACTCATCCCAATACCATATTTTATGTTTTACAAAAAAATTGGGTATTATATTGTGTTTTCGTGCAGCAAAATATATTGAAGTGTATTTTTGTGTGTAAAAGTGCATTCATAAAATTACTGCACAAATACTGTGTGACATAAAAATTTGCAAAACCCACCAATATATTCTCTAGGGCAGTGATGGCGAACCTATGGCACGCGTGCCAGAGCTGGCACGCAGAGCCATCTCAGTGGGCACGCCAGGAGGAAGAGAGGAAGAGGAAGAGAACGCGCTCTCCTGCGCACCTCCGGGGGCGCGCACCGGGCGATCTCCGTGATCGCTGTGTCCTGCGGACACAGCTGATCACGTGACATGGTAAAAGGCCAATCACAGCGGCCTTTTACCACGTGATCAGCCGTGTCCAATGACACGCTGATCACCGGGAAATGCAAATGCCGGTTCTCGGCTGCACTTTCCTCACGCTGTCAGATCGTGAGGAAAGTACTGCCGAAAACCGGCAGTTGTCAGAACAGGGATCGGCACCGATCATCAGGGTCACTGATCATCAGTGCCCTGATGATCGGTGCCCACCTGTGCCACACACAAGTTCCGCCCACTTGTGCCCAGCAATGCGCCCACCTGTGCCCAGCAGTGCGCCCACCTGTGCCCAGCAATGCGCCCACCTATGCCCAGCAGTGCGCCCACCTGTGCCCAGCAATGCACCCACCTGTGCCCAACAGTGTGCGCCCACCTGTGCCCAGCAATGCACCCACCTGTGCCCAACAGTGCGCCCACCTGTGCCCAGCAATGCACCCACCAGTGCCCACCTGTGCCGCCCACCTGTGCCACCCACCAGTGCCCATCAGTGCAGCCCAGCAGTGCTGCCAGTCAGTGCCACCAGTCAGTGCCCAGCGGTTGTGCCAGTCAGTGCCCAGCAGTGATTTCAGTCAGTGCCACCTATCAGTGCTGTCTATCAGTACCCATTATCAGTGTCGCCTATCAGTGCCACCTATCTGTGACACCTCATTAGTGCTGCCCATCAGTGCCACCCATCAATGATGCCCAGCAGTGCCGCCGGTCGGTGCCGTCTGTCAGTGCCTCCAGTTGGTGCTGTCAGTGCCGCTTATCAGTGCCCATCATTTCCTGCATATCAGTGCATCATCAGAGCCTCTCATCAATGCTCACCAGTGCCGCCTCATCAGTGCTACCTATCTGTGCCGCCTCATCAATGCCCATCAGTGCTGCCTATCAGTGCAGCCTCACCAACGCACATCAAAGAAGAAATATTACCTGTTTGCAAAATTTTAGAATAGAAGCAAAGGAAACCTTTTATGTTTTTAATTTTTTGCTCTTTTTTCATTTATAGTGCAAAAAATAAAACACCCAGTGGTGATTAAATACCACCAAAAAAAGCTCTATTTGTGTGAAAAAATGATAAAAATTGCATATGGTTACAGTGTTGCATGACCGCACAATTGTCTTTGTTAAGTGCAACAGCACTGAAAGCTGAAAATTGTCCTGGGCAGGAAGGGGGTAGAAGTGCCCGGTAGGCAAGTGATTAATTCCAGTGTTGGCACTTTGAAATAAAAAAGTTGGTTTTGTGTTGCAGTTTGGGCACTCAGGCTCAAAAAGGTTCGCCATCACTGCTCTAGGGCCTCTGCAAAAAAACAAATATGTAATGTTTGGGGTTTCTGAGTTCTATCAAAATCCAGATTTTTACTTCTAAACAAAAAGTGTCAGAAGGCTGACTGGTCTTAAATTGGATAACGGTTTTCCTTGGATTTTGGGCCTCTCTTTGTGGCTGGGCTGTGAAAAAGTCTCAAACATGTGGTTTCACCATATTAAGGAAGAGTAGCAGAATGTGTTTTGGGGTGTGGTTGCAAGTATGCCTATACTATGTGTGAGAAATAACTAATTTCTTAATTTTCCAACGAATTGTAGAAAAAAATTACATCTTCAAAAAACTCACCATGCCATTACTAAATAGTCCAGACTGTCTACTTTCCAAAAATGGGTCATTTGTAAAGTATTTGTACTGTCCTGACATGTTAGGGCTTCAAGAAATGAGATAGGACGTCAGTACATCAGGTGTGATCAGGTGTGATCAATTTTCAATGATTGGTAACATAGCTTGTAGACTCTACAACGTTCACACAGACCAAATAATATGCACTGATTTGGGTTATTTTTACCAAAGAAATGTAGCAGTATAAATTTTGATTAAAATTTATGAAGAAAAAATACTTATTTGCAAAATTTTATAACAGAAACTAAGAAAAACATGCAGTCTTTTTTTGTTTATAGTGCACAAAAATAAAAAACCCCAGTGGTGACTGAATACCACCAAAAGAAAGCTCTATCTGTCTCAAAAAAATATCAATTTCATTTGAGCACAGTGTTTCATGACTAAGTAATTATCATTAAAAGTTTGACAGTGCTGAAAGCTGAAAATTGCCTTGGTATGAAGGGGATGAAAGTGCCCAGTATTGAGGTGGTTAAAATGTGTTGTTAATATTTTAACAAATTTGTAACAAACTGATTGATTATTATTTTTTGTCTGGTGGTGTGCCTGTAAAGTCTGTTCATACATTGGAGACCTTTCCTGGTTCCATTCTCTTTTTTCTAACACTTTGGTATGTGGCACTTTGAAAGCTTATAGCCACTAATCCTCCATGCAACTGTGAAGTGTACTTCATCTCTTCTTTTGGTGCTTCTGGGACTTCAGGACTGCCTTGCCTAACCTGCTTCACCTCTATTTTTCAATTATTGTCCATCTTTGTACCTTGCTACAATGAACTGATGTTTACCTCTTGTTAAAAATTCCTTCAATAACAATTGTTTGGGAAAAAATTAATAAATATATATTTAGATAGAAGCAGCAAAGGTAACTAATCTGATATCAGACTCCTGTAAGCCTCTGCTCAACACAGGAGCAGTGAGGGGCAGTATTCTGAGCCAAGCAAGGCTCCATTGCGTTCTGGGAACAATCTTACAGAAGGGGAGAGCACAGGGATGACCCCATCAGAGAGCATCTTTATTGTCTAATTACAGGCTGGGAGATGTTTCTGAACCATGCAATATTACCAAAAACTCCAGTTTTCCACAAATATCAATCTAGGGGAAGATTAAAGCAGAGGAATTTTAACCCTATTTTTTGTTTCCCTGGCAGCCAACATTTTCCTCCATTCCCGGTATGTGGGCAGGCCCTCAACATCCTCACTTATTATATCAAAGAGGGGGCAGCCATACTCTCAGCAAAGAGAAGTGGCTTTGTGGGTTTGTTGTATGGTGGGGAGTAAGCCTACTGTAGAAGCAAGGAATAAGGTAAGTATTTCTGTTTCAGACACCAGCTCAGTAAAGTCAAAAGCAATTGAACGCCCAATTAGATAAAGTCATAGTTCGCCATCCCATGGATCTAGGAGGTCTAGTCTTTACCAGGAGGCAACAATGGTCCACAAACGTGTATAAATACTCTATAGATATACTTGTACTCTATAATGTAGATACAAGCTTGTGGACCATTGTTGCCTATGACTGCTTTACTGGCCTAGCCAATCCATTTCAGTAACATCCTGCTTTTACCAACATCTTAGCTGTAAGGATATGGGAGATGGGCTTCAGCAAACAAAGTCCAGTCATTGGAAGGTCTCCCTATTTAAGAAGACTAAGCCTACTTTAGGTGTTTAGTCATTATCAATATTGTTATTTTGCCTTTGCTAGCAGTTCATGTCCCAAGGTTGTGATTGTTCATAACTATCCCATTTTAATCATCTCTAATACATGCAATGTTATTTATGTTGTCATGTCCTAATGCTGAGGTTGTGGGAATTGAGAGCTATCTCTTATTTTAATTATCACTAATACACAGTATTTTATTTATGTTTTTCATCTTCTTCGTTCTTTTACTCTTGGCTCAGCAGTATATCCTGATTCATTACTGGACTGATTTGTCATAAGTAAAGCATGGGTCCAGGTTTTATGATCATTTTTCATCCAGAAATTTGCTATGAATTCTTCCAGCACAATGTACTCAATATAATTAGGGAACTGCTTCAATTTATAGTTAAGAATTACTTTCCCATATATTATGGGATACTGAATATTCAGAGTTATCTCTAGTAGAAGACATGATTTTATCTGAAGTTTCAAGTGCTGTATACAGAGATTAGGTTCTAGTGAGTTCTCTCTTAATCTTGTGTCGCATCCACTTATAGACTGTTTTTTTTTTTGCTTGATGATATTTAAAAATTGAAGGGCTGATAAAGAAACATTTTTTTCTATGATGGACTTGTAGCAACTACCTAGTGTTACATGCTTTACGGTTTTATTAATTTAGAACAAGGGAAAGTATGGCAGATCATCAGTGTGAATTGTGCTTTAATAGGCCTTATGACACAGGGCAAACAATGATGGTATGTTGTGACTCGCAACAATCAGAAGTCAAACCCATCTGAAAGTGTGGTCTACTTGAAAACGTTCCTTTTTCATTATAGTGTGTGAATTTATAAGCATGAATTCATAAGCTGTACCAATATAACTATGTATAAAATATTCATACCTGGAATTCCTCTTGAGCCTCTTCTGGCTGGAGGTATGCATATATGCTGCCTTTAGGTGGGTGGGATTTAACGCCTAGAGGCCGCATACATAAAGCCCAAAGTAAACAGTTTTCTGTGATGAGAATGCGCTCCCAGTACACTTACCAGCAGGGATCAGAAAGCTCCTGATGCATACTTGCAATCAGGAGTTTTCTGGTCATGTGACGGCTGTGACTGCCAATCACAGCAGTCACATAATCAGATTGCCCACCTCCACTTCCCAGCATTTAGAACCCCTTAAAGGGTCGGGAGGTGGTAGCAGAAAGGGGTTAACCACTTCCAGTCTGGGCCAGTGCTGACATACCGCTCCTTCATGTAAAAAAATTTTTTTTTTTCTGAAAAACCACTTAGAACACCCAAATATTTTATATATATATCAGAGGCCCTAGAGAATAAAATAATGGGTGTTGCATATTTTTATGTCACACAGTATTTGCACAGCGGTTCTTCAAATGCAAATTTTTGGAAAAAATAAACTTTAATACATTTTAGTGCAAATAAACATACCTAAAAATCTTCATAGGTGGCACTTTAAAAGCCTTTGTGGGTTAGCAGTTTAGATTTACACAGAAGGTTTGGTGATAGAATTATTGCTCTCCCTCTGACATTGGCGGCAATATCTCACATGTATGGTGCAATCACTGTTTACATTTGTGAGCACGAGGGAATGGGGCGCTTTATAATTTTGCTGTTGTTTTTTTTTTTTTTTACACAGTAGCTTTTTATTTTTTTTTTAACACATTTATTACTATCACAAGGGATGCACAAACATAGCATGAGTCGTGACTGGTCATCTTTTTGGAGAGATCTGGGGTCTATTAGATTTCTACACAGAAATGAGCTGGAACACATCCAAACACCAAAAAAAAAAAAAAAAGGACATCTAATCTCAACAAATACTGCTCTCTCTTTTTCTGCTCTCTCTATTTCTCTCAAAATGACTGAAATAGTTAATTTTTTACTGTTTTTCAGTGCATTCTGGGCATTTTGGAAGATCTCCTGAGGTTATCTTTAAAAAATGCTTTGAAACGGAAACGCGCATAAATGCGGTATGCAAACACGGCTAAACAGACGTTTTTTAACCTACGTTTTCCAGCAGTCAGTTTCCATCGTTCAGAAGTGTCCCGTGTACATGGAGTGTTCATCTTCCTAGCACTTGAGCTGTTAAACTGGTGTTACTGAACTCTAGTTCTCAAAGGCTCTTGTTTTCCAGTTAAACAAGTAAACAATGTTGTTGATAATTGCTTAAAAAGATGCCACCAGCTAGTTTAATGGTGATTCCATGTCAAGAACTGCAAATATTGCTGGCAGCCACCTTGGACTGGGCTTGAAAACCTGCTGAAAACCATCTGTCACATGAACCTTTTTGGTTGCTTTGTTCTTGGAGAGAACCTGTACTGCTTAGGATTTCAGCACTGCAAACAATGGACAGCTCAACATCTTTTA